ATCATCATCACATCATCACCACATCACCATTACATCATCACCACATCACCATCACATCATCATCACATCATCACCGCATCATCACCACATCACCATCACATCACCACCATCAAATCACCACCACCACCATCACATCACCACATTACCACCACATCACCATCACCACATCACCATTACATCACCATCACATCACCACATCATCACCACCACCAAATCACCATCACATCACCACATCACATCATCATCACATCATCACATCACCATCACCACATCACATCACCACATCACATCACCATCACCACATCACATCATCACATCACCACATCACCATCACCACATCACCATCACATCATCACCACATCACCATCGCCACATCATCACATCATCACATCACCATCACATCATCATCATCACATCATCATCACATCACCATCACATCATCACATCATCACCATCACATCATCACATCAACATCAAACCATCACATCATCACCACATCAACATCACCATCACCACATCATCATCACAGCATCAACATCACATCATCACATCATCACCACATCACCATCACCACATCACCATCACATCATCATCACATCATCATCACATCATCACCACATCACCATTACATCATCATCACATCATCACCGCATCATCACCACATCACCATCACCATCACACCACCACCATCACATCACCACATTACCACCACATCACCATCACCACATCACCATTACATCACCATCACATCACCACATCATCACCACCACCAAATCACCATCACATCACCACATCACATCACCACCACATCATCACCACATCACATCACCATCACCACATCACCATCACATCATCAACACATCACCATCACATCATCACCACATCACCATCGCCACATCATCACATCACCATCACATCATCATCATCACATCACCATCACATCATCATCACATCACCATCACATCATCACATCACCATCACATCATCATCACATCACCATCACATCACCATCACCATCACATCACATCACCACCACATCATCACCACATCACCACATCATCATTACATCATCATCACATCATCACCGCATCATCACCACATCACCATCACCATCACACCACCACCATCACATCACCACATTACCACCACATCACCATCACCACATCACCATTACATCACCATCACATCACCACATCATCACCACCACCAAATCACCATCACATCACCACATCACATCACCACCACATCATCACCACATCACATCACCATCACCACATCACCATCACCACATCACCATCACATCATCAACACATCACCATCACATCATCACCACATCACCATCGCCACATCATCACATCACCATCACATCATCATCATCACATCACCATCACATCATCATCACATCACCATCACATCATCACATCACCATCACATCATCATCACATCACCATCACCACATCACCATCACATCACATCACCACCACATCATCACCACATCACCATCACCACATCATCATCACATCACCATCACATCATCATCACATCACCATCACATCATCATCACATCACCATCACATCATCATCACATCACCACATCACCATCACCACATCACCATCACATCACCATCACATCATCACATCATCACCATCACATCATCACATCAACATCAAACCATCACATCATCACCACATCATCATCACCATCACATCACCATCATATCACATCATCATCACATCATCAACACATCACCATCACATCATCATCACATCACCATCACATCATCATCACATCATCATCACATCATCACCACATCACCATTACATCATCATCACATCATCACCGCATCATCACCACATCACCATCACCATCACACCACCACCATCACATCACCACATTACCACCACATCACCATCACCACATCACCATTACATCACCATCACATCACCACATCATCACCACCACCAAATCACCATCACATCACCACATCACATCACCACCACATCATCACCACATCACCACATCACATCACCACATCACATCACCATCACCACATCACCATCACATCATCAACACATCACCATCACATCATCACCACATCACCATCGCCACATCATCACATCACCATCACATCATCATCATCACATCACCATCACATCATCATCACATCACCATCACATCATCACATCACCATCACATCATCATCACATCACCATCACATCACCATCACCATCACATCACATCACCACCACATCATCACCACATCACCACATCACCATCACCACATCATCATTACATCATCATCACATCATCACCGCATCATCACCACATCACCATCACCATCACACCACCACCATCACATCACCACATTACCACCACATCACCATCACCACATCACCATTACATCACCATCACATCACCACATCATCACCACCACCAAATCACCATCACATCACCACATCACATCACCACCACATCATCACCACATCACATCATCACATCACCATCACCACATCACCATCACCACATCACCATCACATCATCAACACATCACCATCACATCATCACCACATCACCATCGCCACATCATCACATCACCATCACATCATCATCATCACATCACCATCACATCATCATCACATCACCATCACATCATCACATCACCATCACATCATCATCACATCACCATCACCACATCACCATCACATCACATCACCACCACATCATCACCACATCACCATCACCACATCATCATCACATCACCATCACATCATCATCACATCACCATCACATCATCATCACATCACCATCACATCATCATCACATCACCACATCACCATCACCACATCACCATCACATCATCATATCATCACATCATCAACACATCACCATCACATCATCACATCACCATCACATCATCACATCATCATCACATCACATCATCATCATCACCATCACATCACCATCATATCACATCATCATCACATCATCAACACATCACCATCACATCATCATCACATCACCATCACATCATCATCACATCACCATCACATCATCATCACCATCACATCACCATCACATCATCACATCACCATCACATCATCATCAAATCATCACATCACCATCACATCATCATCACATCATACCATCACATCATCACCACATTACCATCACATCACCATCACATCATCATCACCACATTACCATTACATCATCACCATCACCACATCATCACCACATCATCATCACATCACCATCACATCACATCATCATCACATCACATCATCACATCATCACCACATTACCATCACATCACCACCATCACATCACCATCACATCATCATCACCACATTACCATCACATCATCACCACATCATCATCACCACATTACCATCACATCATCACCACATCACCATCAATCACATCATCATCACATCACCATCACCACATCACCATCACCGCACGTGCGTGCCGCCAGCGCCCTGCACGAAGCCTGAGGCCTACCCCGAATAGCCACGCGCAGCCACGTGGTCCGCACCACGTGGTTGCTTCAACATCACCTCATCATCACCACATCATCATCACCTCATCATCATCACATCATCACCTCATCATCATCACCACCTCATCACCACTACCACCACCATCAGGATCACAGCAGGGCCGAGACGCGGCCTGCTGCTGCTGTAGTCGTGGCGGTGTGGTCTAGATGCTCTGCTGCTACTATTGCTACTGCTGCTGGTTCTACTGCTGCTGGTTCTACTGCTGCTACTATTGCTACTGCTGCTGGTTCTACTGCTGCTACTATTGCTACTGCTGCTGGTTCTACTGCTGCTACTATTGCTACTGCTGCTGGTTCTACTGCTGCTGGTTCTACTGCTGCTGGTTCTACTGCTGCTGGTTCTACTGCTGCTACTATTGCTACTGCTGCTGGTTCTACTGCTGCTGGTTCTACTGCTGCTGGTTCTACTGCTGCTGGTTCTACTGCTGCTGGTTCTACTGCTGCTACTATTGCTGGTTCTACTGCTGCTACTATTGCTACTGCTGCTGGTTCTACTGCTGCTGGTTCTACTGCTGCTGGTTCTACTGCTGCGACTATTGCTACTGCTGCTGGTTCTACTGCTGCTACTATTGCTACTGCTGCTGGTTCTACTGCTGCTACTACTACTGCTGCTACTACTGTTACTGCTGCTACTATTGCTGCTATTACTGCTGCTACTGCTACTACTGCTGCTGTAGTCGTGTAGTGTTCTAGCTACTGCTGCTACTGCTGCTGTAGTCGTGGTGTGGTGGTGTCGTGGTGGTGGTGTCGTGGTGGTGGTGTGGTGGTGTCGTGGTGGTGTCGTGGCGCTGGTGTCGTGTTCTAACATCGCCACACGAGACGCGGCGGGGACGGCGAAACCTCGGATCGGCCCGCGTCTCGCGCGAGAGGAAAGAGGCGCGACAACAGCGGGGAGAGAGACACGGAGAGAGACGGGGAGAGAGAGACACGGAGAGAGACACGGGGAGAGAGACGGGGAGAGAGAGACACGGAGACGGGGAGAGACGGGGAGACACACGGGGAGACACGGAGAGAGAGGGGGAGAGACACAGAGAGAGACGGGGAGAGACGGGGAGAGAGACGGAGAGAGAGGGGGAGAGAGACGGGGAGACACACGGGGAGACACGGAGAGAGACACGGACAGAGAGAGACGGAGACACACGGGGAGAGAGACGGAGAGAGACGCCGCTCTGCTCACCCTCTCCTGCTCCACTCCCTCCCCACCGCCGTCTCACCGCAGGGCGAGACGGCGGCGACTCTCAGACAGCAGAGTCCCTCACAACTCCTCACCACTCCCCTCACCACTCCTCACACCTCACCACTTCTCACCACTCCTCTCCCCTCACCACTCCTCTCCCCTCACCACTCCTCTCCCAACTCCTCTCCCCTCACCACTCCTCACCACTCCTCTCACCACTCATCACCACTCCTCACCACCACCCCTCATCATCATCACATCACCTGCCGCCTCCGCCATGCTGCTCGCCTGGGCCTCTCCTCTTGCACGTGGTGTTCAGCAGCACGCGCTGGGCGCAGTGCGCATGCGCGGAGGGAGGACTGGCGGGAGAGGCTTAACCGGATGCTGCGTCATTACTAACAGCCCTCATCTCACCCCCCACAGCCCCCACAGCCCCCACCTCACCCCCCACAGCCCCCACCTCCCCACAGCCCCCACCTCACCCCCACAGCCCCCACCACGTGTCTGTGACGTCACCACGACGCCTGTGCCAGGCTGGGTGCACGTTGAGGCCACCACGTGTAGTGTGGAACGCCGCTGGCAGGCGGAGGTCACGGGGCAGACCCGGCAGGTGCCGTGGGGTCGACCGACCGAGATGATTGGCCGATGCACCACCACCTGTGCCCCTTGCTGTGCCAGGCTAGGTGCACCACCAGCAGCTGTGCCCCCTGCTATGCCAGGCTAGGTGCACCACCACCTGTGCCCCCTGCTGTGCCAGGCTAGGTGCACCACCACCACCTGTGCTCCTGCTGTGCCAGGCTAGGTGCACCACCACCACCTGTGCCCCTGCTGTGCCAGGCTAGGTGCACCAGCAGCAGCTGTGCCCCTGCTGTGCCAGGCTGGGTGCACCACCAGCAGCTGTGCCCCCTGCTGTGCCAGGCTAGGTACACCACCACCACCTGTGCCCCCTGCTGTGCCAGGCTAGGTACACCACCACCACCTGTGCCCCTGCTGTGCCAGGCTAGGTGCACCACCACCACCTGTGCCCCTGCTGTGCCAGGCTAGGTGCACCACCAGCAGCTGTGCCCCTGCTGTGCCAGGCTAGGTGCACCACCAGCAGCTGTGCCCCCTGCTGTGCCAGGCTAGGTGCACCACCAGCAGCTGTGCCCCTGCTGTGCCAGGCTAGGTGCACCACCACCACCTGTGCCCCCTGCTGTGCCAGGCTAGGTGCACCACCACCACCTGTGCCCCCTGATGTGCCAGGCTAGGTGCACCACCAGCAGCTGTGCCCCCTGCTGTGCCAGGCTAGGTGCACCTATAGACAAAGATCCCCAGCCCGTGTCGCCTTCAACAGACTCCTGGGGCGAAGTACTGCTGGCAACGTGAAGGCAGTGGCAGCACGAGGCGGTGGGTGGCCACCGCCCCGCACGCCCGGCCGCCTTTGTCTTCCCGATGTTTAACTCGTTCTTTAGGCTGAGCCGACCTAGGGGAGGCCCCCCCAGGACCGGTCCGGAGAATCGCCGGCGGTGGCCGCGAGCGGGAATCGGTCCCGGGTCTCATCCAGCGGTGGAGTGGAGGACGTCGCCCGTGACACTTCGCAATCCTCGGCGGACGCCACAAACTCAGAACGCCACGTGCAAGGCCCCCACTGAGCTGACGCGCCCGAGCTCCTGGGCAGCAGCAGCAGCAGAGACTCGAGGGCAGCAGCAGAGACTCGTGGGCAGCAGCAACTCGTGGGCAGCAGCAGCAGCAGAGACTCGTGGGCAGCAGCAGCAGAGACTCGTGGGCAGCAGCAGAGACTCGTGGGCAGCAGCAGCAGCAGCCACTCGTGGGCAGCAGCAGCAGCGACTCGTGGGCAGCAGCAGCAGCCACTCGTGGGCAGCAGCAGCCACTCGTGGGCAGCAGCAGCAGCCACTCGTGGGCAGCAGCAGCAGCCACTCGTGGGCAGCAGCAGCCACTCGTGGGCAGCAGCAGCCACTCGTGGGCAGCAGCAGCCACTCGTGGGCAGCAGCAGCCACTCGTGGGCAGCAGCAGCCACTCGTGGGCAGCAGCAGCCACTCGTGGGCAGCAGCAGCAGCAGAGACTTGTGGGCAGCAGCAGAGACTCGTGGGCAGCAGCAGCAGAGACTCGTGGGAAGCAGCAACTTGCTGGCACATCCCAAATGCTGGCGGCTCAATCAAGTGGCCTGCTTACCATCATCATCACCACCATCATCATCAACATCATCACCATGATCAACATCATCAACATCATCACCATCATCATCACCATCATCACCACCACCACCATCATCACCACCATCATCACCACCACCACCATCATCATCACCACCACCATCATCATCACCACCATCAACAGCATCATCACCATCATCATGATCAACATCACCACCATCATCATCAACATCATCACCATCATCATTATCATCACCACCACCACCATCATCACCACCACCACCATCATCATCATCACCACCACCACCACCATCATCATCACCACCATCAACAGCATCATCATCACCATCATCAACACCATCATCATCACCACCACCACCATCATCATCACCACCATCATCATGATCACCACCATCATCATCACCACCATCATCATCACCACCACCACCATCATCATCACCATCATCACCATCAACACCATCATCATCAGCATCATCACCATCATCACCACCACCACCACTATCATCATCATCACCATCATCAACACCATCATCAGCATCATCAGCAGCTGAACTCTTAGCACGGGTGGCGGTGTCGACTCTGAACGTGGAACGGCGAATCCGGAGGGAAATCCGCGGAGACGCGAAACTTACCACGGGCACACAGAGCTCACCTGGCGAGGTAGTGAACATCTACACAGGTAGTGAACATCTCCACAGGTAGTGAACATCTACACAGGTAGTGAACATCTACACAGTAGTGAACATCTCCACAGGTAGTGAACATCTACACAGGTAGTGAACATCTACACAGGTAGTGAACATCTACACAGGTGAACATCTACCCAGGTGGTGAACATATACACAGGTAGTGAACATCTACACAGGTAGTGAACATCTACACAGGTAGTGACCATCTACCCAGGTAGTGAACATCTACACAGTAGTGAACATCTACACAGGTAGTGAACATCTAACCAGGTAGTGAACATCTACACAGGTGGTGAACATCTCCCCAGGTAGTGAACATCTACACAGGTAGTGAACATCTACACAGGTGGTGAACATCTACCCAGGTGGTGAACATATACACAGGTAGTGAACATCTACACAGGTAGTGAACATCTACACAGGTAGTGAACATCTACACGGGTAGTGAACATCTACCCAGGTAGTGAACATCTACACGGGTAGTGAACATCTCCCCAGGTAGTGAACATCTACACGGGTAGTGAACATCTACCCAGGTAGTGAACATCTACACGGGTAGTGAACATCTACCCAGGTAGTGAACATCTACACAGGTAGTGAACATCTACACGGGTAGTGAACATCTAACCAGGTAGTGAACATCTCTCCAGGTAGTGAACACCTACACAGGTAGTGAACATCTACACAGGCAGTGAACATCTACACGGGTAGTGAACATCTCCCCAGGTAGTGAACATCTACACGGGTAGTGAACATCTACACAGGTAGTGAACATCTACACAGGTAGTGAACATCTAACCAGGTAGTGAACATCTCTCCAGGTAGTGAACACCTACACAGGTAGTGAACATCTACACAGGCAGTGAACATCTACACAGGTAGTGAACATCTCCCCAGGTAGTGAACATCTCCCCAGGTAGTGAACATCTACACAGGTAGTGAACATCTACACAGGTAGTGAACATCTACACAGGTAGTGAACATCTCCCCAGGTAGTGAACATCTACACAGGTAGTGAACATCTACACAGGTAGTGAACATCTACACAGGTGGTGAACATCTACCCAGGTGGTGAACATCTACCCAGGTAGTGAACATGTACGTACACAGGTAGTGAACATCTACACGGGTAGTGAACATCTACACAGGTAGTGAACATCTACACAGCCAGCGTGGGCCGTCGGTTAGTACGTGAGTAGTACGTGTGTCACTCACTCACTACTCACTCACGTGAGTAGTGTCACTCACCACTCACTCAGTACTCAATCACCACTCACTCACGTGAGTAGTACGTGTGGCACTCACCACTCACGTGTTAGCACGGGTGGCACTCACCACTTACTCACGTGTGAGTAGTACGTGTGTTACTCACCAATCACCCACTACTTACTCACTACTCACTCACCACTACTCACGTGTTAGCACGGGTGTCACTCACCACTCACTCACGTGAGTAGTACGTGTGTCACTCACCACTCACCCACTACTCACTCACCCACTACTCACTCACGTGTTAGCACGGGTGTCACTCACCACTCACTCACGTGAGTAGTACGTGTGTCACTCACCACTCACTCACTACTCACTCACGTGTTAGCACGGGTGTTACTCACTCACTACTCACGTGTGAGTAGTACGTCTGTCACTCACCACTCACTTCCTACTCACTCACTACTCACGTGTGAGTAGTACGTGTGTCACCACTCAGCCACTACTCACTCACCACTCACGCGTTAGTAGGTGTGTCACTCACCACTCACTCACGTGAGTCGTGTGTCACTCACCACTCACTCCCCACTCACTCACGTGTGAGTAGCACGTGTGTCACTCACCACTCACCCACTACTCACTCACTCACCACACTCACCACTCACTCACTCACTCACCCACTACTCACTCACGTGTGAGTAGTACGTGTCACTCACCACTCACTACTCACTCACCACACTCACCACTCACTCACTACTCACGCACTACTCACTCACCACTCACTCGCTCACCACTCACTCACTACTCACCCACTACTCACTCACCACTCACCCACTACTCACTCACCCACGATATTTGGAGATGCCACTGCTGCATCACAACTTCCACTAGAGGTGAGCACGTGGGTTATACCGGACCCTGGCACGGGAATGTGGAATTTCCACGCCCGTTTTTTTATTTTATTGAACACGGTGAACCTGCTGCTGCGTTGGCAATATTGGTGATGGTGGTGCAGAAGTACAGTCAACAACAACAACTCGACACACTTCGTGTCAACAACAACACCTGGTTATGTGTCTGTGTGTCTGTGTGTTTGTGTCTGTGCGTCTCTGTGCGTGTCTGTCTTTGTGTGTGTCTTTGTGTGTGTCTTTGTGTGTCTTTGTGTGTGTCTGTTGTGGAGAGCAGCACTTGCCCCGAACGGTCTGTTAAGGCTATACGGGGAACCTTTGTCACACACACTCATACACACACAGACACACACACAGACTGACACAGACACACAGAAACACACACACAGACACACACACAGACTGACACAGACGCACACAGACTCATACGCACACAGACTGACACAGACACACACACAGACTGACACAGACACACACAGACTCATACACACACACAGACTGACACAGACACACACACAGACTGACACAGACACACACAGACTCATACACACACACACAGACTGACACAGACACACACACAGACTGACACACACGCACACAGACTCATACACACAGACACACACACAGACTGACACAGACACACACAGACTCATACACACAGACACACACACAGACACACACACTGACCCACACACAGACCCACACACAGACACACACACACACAGACACAGAAACACACACAGAAACACACACACACACAGACACACACACAGACACACACACAGAAACACAGACTGACACAGACACACACAGACTCATACACACAGACACACAGACACAAACAAATACACACACACAGACCCACACACAGACACACACAGAAACACACACAGACACACACAGACAGACACAGACACACAGAAACACACACAGAAACACACACAGAAACACACAGAAACACACACAGAAAACACAGACACACACACAGACTCAGCGTTGTTGACACGGAACGCGTTGAGGTTTTTGTCGACCAAAGAAATAACACTCATCATTAACGTCACCGTCGTAATGATTATCACCATCGTCACCATCGTCACCATCGCCACCATCATCGTCACCATCGTCATCATTGTCACCATCGTCACCATCATCGTCATCATCATTGTCACCATCGTCGTTATCGTCATCGTCGTGATCGTCACCATCCTCATCGTCACAGTCGTCATCACCGTCGCCATCATCGTCACCGCCGTAATCATCGTCGTCATCATCGTCGTTCACGCCATCGCCGCCGCCGCCGCCGCCGTCATCAAACGACGACGATGTCGCCGGTGCAGCGGCTGCAGCAGGTGAAGGTGATGTGCTCGTAGCGTGTGTAGGGGTGGAAGCGCCCGGGGCTCGGCTTGCTCGTCAGCAGGCGCCCGGCGGCGCCGCCGGCGGCGTCGTCCACGAGCATCGGATCGGTCATCCTCACCTCGGTCATCCTGAGCACCTGCAGAGCGGCGCGGACACGGCGCGGACACGGTGCAACAACAACAACAACAACCGCCATTCGCCACTAAGTGGCGGTGACGTCACCACGACGCCTGTGCCAGGCCACGTGCACCTTGAGGCCACGTGAAGTGTCGAACGCCCGCTGGCAGGAGGTCACGGGGCAGACCCAGGTGCCACGGGTCGACTGACTGAGATGACTGGCTGATGCACCACCTGTGCCCCCTACTGTGCCAACCTGCTGTGCTTTAGCCACCCGGCGCTCCGCTCGTTGTTGTGAGCGTCGCTCCTCCGCCCTCCGTTGTTGTTGGAGGGCGACTGCCTCCAACTGCCCAGTAGCGTCCTTCACGAGCCTCCTCCACAGAGGCCGATCTTGACACCGCTGGTACTGGTCATCGGCAAGTCCACTCAGCTCCACGTCCTCCTGTACCACATCACTCCATCTCTTCTCTAGCCCGTGCCGCGCCCGTTTAGCCCCCTCGATCCGGCCGAACAAAAGCTGTTTCGGCATGCGGTGACTGGGGATGCGGGCTACATGACCCAGCCAACGCAGCCTTGGAGCTCACCGATGGGACCGTGCCCAGATCTTTCAAGAATTTGTGAGCTCCTCAACAATCCAGCCTGGTTAAACCCAGGATGGATCGTAGGCAGGCCAGCCTAAATGTTTCTGACCGGCGAAGATGTTCCATTAGGGGGGTCCACGTTTCACAAGCGTAGAGAAGGGAGGGAATGACCGTGGCCGAGAAGACCTGAAGCTTAGTGCGGAGCGACAGACCAGGTAGCTTCCACACAGCGTTACGCAACCGATGAAAAGATATTGCCGCTCGACTGATTCGGAGTGAGACCTCTGCTGTTAAACTGGAGCCAGTCATAAGCACACTGCCCAGGTATGGGAAACTCTCCACTCTCTCCACAACTGCCCCATCACCGATTGGGAGTTGTGGGGATGGAGTGTCCGATGGTACAAAATACCCAGGCAGGTGCTGCTTAGTTTTGGTGGGGCTGATGGTAAGGCCCCACCTCTTAGTGGCCCGCTCCAGTCTCAGCAGTAGCGTCTCCAACTCCTCCTCTGAATGAGCAGTTATTACCAAATCATCAGCATACATAACATGGTTGAGCAATAGGGAGCCATCCCTTGACCGCACCCGGGCATCGATCAGCCTCCCATTATATCTGTACCATATGGAGATTCCCCCTGTACAGCTATTGAAGGCTTCACGAACTACATGGTCAAAATAGATGTTAAATAATGTGGGAGCCAGAGGACATCCTTGTCGCACCCCAAGGTGTACAGGGAATGTTTCTGACTCCCGGCCACGTAGTTTTACCCGGGCCCGCTCACCATCATGAAGGTCCTTAATGATCTTGAGCAGAGGGTCAGGTACTCCAAAAGCACGAAGAACAACCCAGAGCCCAGGCCTACTGATGGTATCATAGGCCTTGACCAGGTCAATAAAGCAGAGATGTAGGTCTTGTTGGAATTCCCTACATCTCTGCTGTAACAGACGGACAGAAAATATGGCATCTGTGCAGGACCGCCCTTTCCTGAAACCGCATTGGGGCTCCGCAAGCCTCTCCTCAGCGTGCCTGGCAAGGCGATGTTGAATAATCCTTGCCAGGACCTTTCCCGGCACACTGAGGAGTGAGATGCCCCTGTAGTTGTTACAGTCTGTACGGTCCCCCTTCTTAAAAAGGGGGACCACCAGGGCATCCTTCCAATCCTGCGGAACCCGTCCAGTGGTCCAGACTGTTGTTATGATGTCATATAGGGCAGTCTGTGCACAAACGCCGCCCTCCCTCAGCATTTCGCTTGAGAGATCATCTCTGCCCGCTGCCTTTCCTGGTCTCAGACTCCGGATCGCCTTCAGTACTTCCTCAACAGATGGCACCTCAGCCAGCCACTCACAGGGGGTGACTTCTTCCAATATTTGAGGCACCGCAGCCTCAGCAGGGTCATCCTCACTTTGTGCCACGATGTTTTCCTGGCTGAGGGATTTTCCATCCCTCAGGACCTCACAGAAATGCTCAGCAAATCTGCAAACCTGTTCCTGGGGGTCGGAGATTGGATTACCGTTTTTTCCCCTAATGATGGTAATAGGTGTGGTGCTGAAGGTTACTTTTTTGATGGAGTTAAATAGAGATTTGTGATCATGGGCCACTGAGGCAGACTCCATCTCCTCAGCAACCCGCGACCACCACCCATCCTTGCGGCGCCTCACGGCTCTCCGAACCTCCGAGCGAAGGCTGCGGTAAGCCTCCTCATTCTCTGACGTGAGATTCTGTAGCCGATGACAGTGGGCCTGTCGCTTTTTCTCAACCATCCTGAACACCGCCTCTGTCAGCCAGGGTCTCTGGGGAGGTCTGGACCGCGTACCCAAAGCAGCCATTGCAGCTGCATGAGTCACAGTCCTAAACCTCGCCCATTTACCCTCGATATCAGGAGGAGTCGGGGAAGATGCCAATCCCAGCCGCAAGCGATGATGAAATTCTCGCTTGCAACTTTCATCAGATAACGGAGACCAGGCCACTTTAGGTTGGAATGGGATCCTGGGTGTACACCCACCACCGGAGTGGAAGAATGGCAGGCGCATCTTACAGATGACTAGTCGATGGTCAGAGGGCAGATCAGCTCCACGGTAGGTCCTGGTGTCAAGGACATGGGCTCGCATCCGCTGGTCCGTCACTATGTAGTCCAGCAGATGTTCTTGCTTGGACCCGGCATGCATCCATGATGTTGTGTGGATGCGCCGATGCCGGAACAGCGTGTTGGTAATTACAAGCCCATGGGCTGCACAAAAATCTAGCAGCCTCCTACCGTTGTTATTGAGCTGATCTGGCCAATGTCCTCCAATCACTCCAGACCAGGTACCAGCATCATGACCCACCCGGGCATTGAAGTCACCCAACAAGATGACTCTATCCCGAGGGGCCACTTTAGCCAGCACCTGTGACAGGAGGTCATAGAAGGCATCTGACTCATCGGCTTTGCCTGCATCCCTCCACGGATGTTCATCTTCGGTGGGGGCATAAGTAACCACGACCACCATTCCTCGCCTCCGGTTGATGGGAATGCGAGCCCAAAGTAGCCTGGGGCTTACAGCTTCCCACACCTCACCGCCACGCTCCCACGCCCCATTCATTCTTTTGTTCAAAAGAAGAGCTACACCCTGTTGTTTGGCAGTCTGCTGCCCCAAGTAGAGGACTGTCCACCCCTCATGGTGGTAGGAGCCAGAGCCGGTCCACCGGACCTCCTGAATGCCACATAGATCCAGGCGATACCGGTCCATCTCCCGACAGAGGAGTGGCAGCCTCTCCTCCGCAGTGAGCGTTCGAACATTCCACGTGGCCACCCGTAGTGGTTTTTCGTTGTTTCTGGAGGAGCCCCGAGGGTAGATATTCAATCTCCTGGCTCCGCCAATTGGGGTTTGGCCAGGTGACGTCATAGACGCTTGGCCCCCCAGGGCCTCCGGCACAAGCTTATTAGTTATATACTTAATTGGTGGTTTAGTGGTAATTATTTGAAAGTGGAGGGGTTACCAGCCCCTAGCACCCGTTCAGAGCCCCCGTTTAGCCCCTGTGGTGGACACATATGCCATGAGGGGAGGAGCCAATAAAAATTGGACCTCCCCCCACAGCACCGTCCACGACAGAGTTGCTCGTCCGGCACCGCGAGGAGGTAGGGGGTTGTTTTGCAGACACACACAGACACACACAGACAGACACACACAGACACACTGACATGCACTGACACGTACAGACACGCACTGACACGTACAGACACGTACAGACACGTACAGACACGCACTGACACGTACAGACACGTACAGACACACCACCACAACCGCCACTAGCGGTCGCCACTCACCTGCTGCGCCATCCTCTCAGCGGCCGTGCTGCACAGCTGCGCAGGAGGCTGCGCAGCCACCGCAGCACCACCGCCACCAGCACCACCACCACCAGCAGCACCACCACCACCAGCAGCACCGCCGCCACCACCAGCACCACCAGCAGCACCACCACCACCGGCAGCAGCTGGTGGCGGCGATGACTTCACCGAACCGCTGCCGCCGCCCAGCAGCCGCTGCGTGAGCAGTGAGGCGAGCGTGGTGCACGCCTCCGCCAGCTCCAGGCTGTTGTGGGCGCGCCGCGTGCCCAGCGAGTACGTGGGCTGCCTACCCCACTGCAGCGCCAGCACCAGCTCCTCCAGTAGCCTGGAGCGCACGCACACACACGCGTGTGTGTACACGTGTGTGAGTGTTTGTGTACACGTGTGTGAGTGTACACGTGTGTGAGTGTACACGTGAGTGTGTGTGCACACGTGTGTGTGTACACGTGTGTGAGTGTGTGTGTACACGTGTGTGTGTACACGTGTGTGTGTGTACACGTGTGTATGTACACGTGTGTGAGTGTGTGTGTACACGTGAGTGTGTGTGTACACATGTGTGAGTGTACACGTGTGTGAGTGTACACGTGTGTGAGTGTGTACACGTGTGTGAGTGTGTACACGTGTGTGTGTGTGTGTACACGTGTGTGTGTACACGTGTGTGAGTGTGTGTGTACATGCGTGTGTGTGTACACGCATGTGTGTGTGTACACGCGTGTATGTGTGTGTAAGAAGGTGGACCGCACAGACTGTAACAACTACAGGGGCATCTCACTCCTCAGTGTGCCGGGAAAGGTCCTGGCAAAGATTATTCAACATCGCCTTGCCAGGCACGCTGAGGAGAGGCTTGCGGAGCCCCAATGCGGTTTCAGGAAAGGGCGGTCCTGCACAGATGCCATATTCTCTGTCTGTTTGCTACAGCAGAGGTGTAGGGAATTCCTACAAGACCTACACCTTCCAATATCGAGGTTTTTTTGGGTTAAATCGCGTGAATATATAAATGTCGTTAAAACCCTCCACCACCCGACACAGCCAACTAGTAAGGGTTGTCACGTAAACACAACGTGGCAATTTGTTACTAGCACAGCACTAACCGGGGTGTGTTGGAGAGCCAAGCTACAACATTTACAATCAGAGTACGACGTTTCGCCAGTAATTACAACCAGCTTCACCAGGCCACAGCCAGATATACAATTGTAAATGTCGTGGATTAACTCTCCAAAACACTACCTCTGTGTTGTACTCGTAACGAATTGGCACGTTCTGTTAACGTAACAAACCTTACTCATTGGCTGTGTTGGGTGGTGGCGGGTTGAACGACACATTTATATATCTATCTTTGCTATCTAACCCCAAAAATAACCTGTACAGTAAAACCTGGGATTGCGAGTAACTTGGCCTGCGAGTGTTTTTCAAGACGAGCAAAATTTGTAAGTAAATTTTAATTTGACAAACGAGCGAGGGTCTTACAACACGAGCAGTACGCGTAGTACGCTTCGTCTGCCGAGCGTCACGTGATCACAACTGATATACAACGAGTGATTTGATGTACGAGTGCTTTGGATAACAAACACGTTTCCGGAAGGAATCATGCTCGCAAGCCAAGGTCTTACTGTATTAGGGATGATATTGGTCGAAAAAGCCTCCTAACGTGTCAAAAAGACCCGACACCTCTGCTTTATTGACCTGGTCAAGGTCGATGATAGCATCGGCAGGCCGGGGCTGTGGGCAGTTCTTCGTGCCGTCGGAGTCACCCGACCCCCCTGCTCGCAAATCATCGAGGGCCTTCATGACGGTGGGCGGGCCAGGAGTCAGGCTACGTGACCGGGAGTCGGAGCCCATCCCCTGCGCGACAGGGACGCCCGTCCGGAGGCTCACCGGTGCGTGTCCTGCAGGTCGACGCACAGCTGCGTGCGCTCGCTGAACAGGTCGTGCACGGCGCTCTGCGCCTCGCGGAACAAGCGCAGGGCGTGGACGCGGGCGCCCGCCACCTCCTCCGACATGACCCTGCGCACGCTCGCCGCACAGCACAAAGCTCCCCCCTTGCCGCCTTCGGGCTGACTAGCCCCCCACAGCTGCCAACCCCTCGTCAGGGCGACCCCACCTTGTTACAGGCCGATTCAGACCTGACCGGTCACCCCGTGACCCTTATAAATCTCAACAACGTTCATCCTACAAAGTCCCATCGCAAGGGAGAAACACAAACAAATAGAGGAAGCCTTTTGGCGTCCTTTGGCGTCCTCTGGTCTAACACCGTTTGAGACGAGGCTCAAAATAAAGCTGTCTCTGGTGTGGACCAATCAGTTTCAAGGACAACGCATCATTAAATATTATCAGAGTTTGTTTTTTGTTTGCATTCTGACCACAAGCATTGTGATTAATGCTGTAACATGATTCCTCGTAAAAGGTTTCAGTTTGGAGTTTTAACATCTTAACACCTGTTTTGTTATTATATTCTTGGTTCTTTCGGTAAAGTCACGTAGAAGGGAAACAATAAAATAATACAAATATAAAACAATGAAATTCTCACGACGTTTCGACTGCAACACAAGCAGCCATCATCAGGTGTGAAAATTACAGCAAGAACATTTGAAAAAAAGTGGCGCTTTTATTAACGTTAGCACCACGGAGAGAGATTTGACAGTTTGTTCAGATGGACGAGTCCATCTATGTTCGGAAAAGAGGAGGGGGGAGACGAAAATAATGGATGCTGTCTGAAAGCCACCGTAAGCGTGAACAATCAATTAAGAGCCGAAATGGTTTCTCAAATCCTTCCAATGAGAGCCAGGTTCTCCTGTACCTGAGGCTCAGGCCTAGAGAGCCAGGCTCTCCTGTACATGAGGCTCAGGCCTAGAGAGCCAGGCTCTCCTGTACCTGAGGCTAAGGCCTAGAGAGCCAGGCTCTCCTGTACCTGAGGCTCAGGCCTAGAGAGCCAGGCTCTCCTGTACCTGAGGCTCAGGCCTAGAGAGCCAGACTCTCCTGTATCTGAGGCTCAGGCCTAGAGAGCCAGGCTCTCCTGTACCTGAGGCTCAGGCCTAGAGAGCCAGGCTCTCCTGTACCTGAGGCTCAGGCCTAGAGAGCCAGGCTCTCCTGTACCTGAGGCTCAGGCCTAGAGAGCCAGGCTCTCCTGTCCCGAGGCTAAGGCCTAGAGAGCCAGGCTCTCCTGTATCTGAGGCTCAGGCCTAGAGAGCCAGGCTCTCCTGTACCTGAGGCTCAGGCCTAGAGAGCCAGGCTCTCCTGTACCTGAAGCTAAGGCCTAGAGAGCCAGGCTCTCCTGTACCTGAGGCTCAGGCCTAGAGAGCCAGGCTCTCCTGTACCTGAGGCTCAGGCCTAGAGAGCCAGGCTCTCCTGTACCTGAGGCTCAGGCCTAGAGAGCCAGGCTCTCCTGTACCTGAGGCTCAGGCCTAGAGAGCCAGGCTCTCCTGTCCCGAGGCTAAGGCCTAGAGAGCCAGGCTCTCCTGTATCTGAGGCTAAGGCCTAGAGAGCCAGGCTCTCCTGTACCTGAGGCTAAGGCCTAGAGAGCCAGGCTCTCCTGTACCTGAGGCTCAGGCCTAGAGAGCCAGGCTCTCCTGTCCTGAGGCTAAGGCCTAGAGAGCCAGGCTCTCCTGTACCTGAGGCTAAGGCCTAGAGAGCCAGGCTCTCCTGTACCTGAGGCTCAGGCCTAGAGAGCCAGGCTCTCCTGTACCTGAGGCTCAGGCCTAGAGAGCCAGGCTCTCCTGTACCTGAGGCCAAGGCCTAGAGAGCCAGGCTCTCCTGTACCTGAGGCTCAGGCCTAGAGAGCCAGGCTCTCCTGTACCTGAGGCTCAGGCCTAGAGAGCCAGGCTCTCCTGTATCTGAGACTCAGGCCTAGAGAGCCAGGCTCTCCTGTATCTGAGGCTAAGACCAAGAGAGCTATGTTTTGCTGGGCCTAAGGCCTAGATGACCAGGCTTTCTTGGGCCTAGATAGCCAGGCTCAGCTGGGCTGAAGGCCTAGAGAGCCAGGCTTTCCTGGGCTTAGGGAACTAGACTTTCCTGGAGCTAGAGAAGCAGACTTTTCTGGGGATAGAGGACCACGATTTCCTGGGCATAAGGCCTAGAGAGTCAGGCTTTCCGGGGCCTAAGGCCTGGAGAGCCAGGCACACTCACACACACACACACGCACGCACGCACTCACCGGCTGGCCAGGAACTTGCTCCTCCACACGTCACACTGGATGCCGATCCTCTCGAGCTGCTCCGAGGCGGACGCCAGGCTGCGCGAGAGCTCCTGCGCCTCGGCCTGCAGGCGTCCCCTCTCGCGCACCGCTCGCTCAAAGTGGAACTGCAGGTCGTCCCCCACGGACGCCACCAGCAGCTTCTTCAGCTCCCGGTTCACCTGGGGCGGGGCGGGCGGGGTGGTCACAGGGTGCGTGTGTGTGCGAGTGACCGGACACACCGCGCACGCGGGGTCGACCGCACCGCTGAAGCACAGCCGCACCACAGGGCCCGCGCGCGACCCCACCTCGGTCTGGCTGCGTAGCTGGCTCACGACGGACTCCTTGTCATCCATGAGGCGCCTCTCCGACTCCTCCAGACGCTTCACCTCCACCTTGAGCTCCTTCACCTCCTGGCGCAGGGCGGCGGTGACGGCCGCGGCAGCGGCGGCGGCGGCGGCGGAGCCCCCGGCCTCCAGCGAGTCCGGTTTGACTCCCAGCTCGAGTGCGGGGAGCGAGCGCGCCGAGTGGTGAAGTATGGCCTCCTTGGGCACCTGGATCTGCACCACGGTGAGTTCCACCTGCCCGCCTGCCTGCCACGCCAAGCCACGCCAAGCCACAACCACCACATCACCGCCACAACCACCACAACCACCACAACCACCACGTCACCGCCACAACCACCACAACCACCACGTCACCACCACAACCACCACGTCACCGCCACAACCACCACAACCACCACGTCGCCACCACAACCACCACAACCACCACATCACCGCCACAACCACCACAACCACCACGTCACCACCACAACCACCACAGCCACCATGTCACCGCCACAACCACCACAGTGCTCACCAAGACAGGCACCGGCTGCTGCTGCTGCTGCTGCTGCGGACGATGAGGAAGAGGAGTAGCAGCAGCAGCAGCAGCAGGAGAGAGCGGACGAGGTTGATGAGGGAGGTGATGGTGTTGAGGAGCCGGTTTTGCGGGAGGACGATGCTGCCAGGAGGAGCGTGGCGCCGGCTGCACGGAGCGCACGGGCAGCGGTGGCGAGGAGGAGGAGCCGGCGGGCCGCTTGGCCGGATCTCCACCGCCAGCGCCGTCGGCCGTCACCTCCATGCCGTCGGCCGGGCCGCGCGAGACGGCCTGCGGCCATCCTGCAGCGCCACAGAGACGCTGCAGTCACCGCCACCACCACCACACCACACAACCACACACCGCCACCACCCCACACCGCCACCACCCCACACCGCCACCACCACACCGCCACCACCCCACACCACCCCACACCGCCACCACCACACCGCCACCACCCCACACAACCACACACCGCCACCAACCCACACCGCCACCATCCCACACCGCCACCACCACCCCACACAACCACACACCGCCACCACCCCACACCGCCACCATCCCACACCGCCACCACCACCCCACACAACCACACACCGCCACCAACCCACACCGCCACCAACCCACACCGCCACTACCCTACACCGCCACGACCACCACCCCACACCGCCACCACCCCACACCGCCACCACCCCACACCACCCCACACCGCCACCACCCCACACCACCCCACACCACCACCACCCCACACCGCCACCACCCCACACAACCACACACCGCCACCACCCCACACCGCCACCACCCCACACCGCCACGACCACCACCCCACACCACCATCACGACACCGCCACCACCACACACCGCCACCACCACACACCGCCACCACCCCACACCGCCACCACCACCACCACCACCGCCACCACCACCCTACATCACCACCACCACCACCGCCACCACACCGCTTCCGTGTGAAGCCTCTCCACAAGTGCTGTGTGTAGCGAGAAGCAGCAGCAGCGCCTATGAAGGCCACCGGCACTGTGGCACAAGAGGGGGTTGGTGGCCAGCAACCACGCCCGGCCGCCTTTGTCTCCCCAGTGGCGATGTTTACTACACACCACTGCACCAGGTACTTATTTGAGGCTGAGTAGACCTAGGGGAGGCCTGGGACCGAGATCAGATCGTCGCTATCAACAGTGTCGGTGTTGGCCGTGAGCGGGAATCGAACTCGGGTCGCCGGGTTCGTAGCGCAGCATAGCGCTATGCACTACACAGACGCAAACTGAGACACACACAGACACACACACAGACGCAAACAGAGACACACACACAGGCGCTCACAGACACACACACAGGCGCTCACACACACACAGAGACACACACACAGGCACTCACACAGACACACACACAGGCACTCAGACACACACACAGGCGCTCACAGACACACACACAGGCGCTCACAGACACACACACAGGCACTCACAGACACACACACAGGCGCTCACAAACAGACACACAGGCACTCACAGACAGACACACAGGCGCTCACAGACACACACACAGGCGCTCACAGACACACACACAGGCGCTCACAAACAGACACACAGGTGTTCACAGACACACACACACAGACACACACACAGGCACTCACACAGACAAACACACAGGCACTCACAGACACACACACAGGCGCTCACAGACACACACACAGGCGCTCACAGACACACACACACAGGCGCTCACAGACACACACACAGGCACTCACACAGACACACACACAGGCACTCACAGACACACACACAGGCACTCACAGACACACACACAGGCGCTCACAGACACACACACAGGCGCTCACAGACACACACACAGGCGCTCACAGACACACACACACAGGCACTCACAGACACACACACAGGCACTCACAGACACACACACAGGCACTCACACTCACAGACACACACACAGGTGCTCAGAGACACACACACAGGCGCTCACAGACACACAGGCGCTCACAAACAGACACACAGACACACACACAGGCACTCACAGACACACACACACAGGCACTCAGACACACACACAGGCACTCACAGACACACACACAGGCACTCACACTCACAGACACACACACAGGTGCTCAGAGACACACACACAGGCGCTCACAGACACACACACACACAGACACACACACAGGCACTCACAGACACACACACAGGCGCTCACAGACACACACACAGGCGCTCACAAACAGACACACAGACACACACACAGGCACTCACAGACACACTCACAGGCGCTCACAGACACACACACAGGCACTCACAGACACACACACAGGCGCTCACAAACAGACACACAGGCACTCACAGACACACACACACAGACACACACACAAGCGCTCACAGACACACACACAGGTACTCACAGACACACACACAGGCGCTCACAGACACACACACAGGCACTCACAGACACACACACACAGACACACACACAGGCACTCACAGACACACACACAGGTACTCACAGACACACACACAGGCACTCACAGACACACACACAGGCGCTCAGAGACACACACACAGGCGCTCACAAACGGACACACAGGTGCTCACAGACACACACAGGCACTAACAGACACACACACAGGCGCTCACAGACACACACACAGGCACTCACAGACACACACACAGGCACTCATACAGACACACACACAGGCACTCACAGACACACACACACACAGGCGCTCACAGACACACACACAGGCACTCACAGACACACACACACACACAGACACACACACAGACTCACAGACACACACAGGCACTAACAGACACACACACAGGCGCTCACAAACAGACACACACAGGCGCTCACAGACACACACACAGGCGCTCACAGACACACAGGCACTAACAGACACACACACACAGGCGCTCACAGACACACACACAGGCGCTCACAGACACACACACAGGCGCTCACAGACACACACACAGGCGCTCACAAACAGACACACACACACGAAGGCAAGGTTGGCCTGGTACCACAAGGTCACGGTTCGACTCCCACCTGTGCCATCTCGAGTCAGGGTGGTGGCCATGACTCTCCACGCAAGCGCCTGCAGGGAGGCAAAGAGCAGAGCGGTGGAGTCACTCACAGCACTCACCCTCACCCACTCACCCCCTCACCCACTCACCCTGTCACGCCCTCACCCCCTCACCCTGTCACCCACTCACCCTCACCCCCTCACCCTCTCACCCTCACACCCTCACCCTCACCCCGTCACCCTCACCCCGTCACCCTCACCCCCTCACCCCCTCACCCTCACCCCCTCACCCACTCACCCTCACCCCGTCACCCCCGTCACCCCGTCACCCCCTCACACCCTCATGCCCTCACACCCTCACCCTCACCCCCTCACCCCGTCACCCCGTCACCCCCTCACACCCTCATGCTCTCACACCCTCACCCTCACCCCCTCACCCCCTCACCCTCACCCCCTCACCCCGTCTCTCTTTTAACGCAACCGGTTTTGCCGATTAAACCAAATCGACGGACTCAATGTTTTCCCACGTGACCGCTCGATTGGCCGTCACGTGGTGGAGGGTTATATGATTGGCTGTTCCATCACGTGGTGGAGGGTTATCTGATTGGCTGTTCCGGCACGTGGTGGAGGGTTAACTGATTGGCTGTTCCGTCACGTGGTGGAGGGTTATCTGATTGGCTGTTCTGTCACGTGGTGGAGGGTTATCTGATTGGCTGTTCCGTCACGTGGTGGAGGGTTATCTGATTGGCTGTTCCGTCACGTGGTGGAAGGTTATCTGATTGGCTGTTCCGTCACGTTGTGGAGAGTTATCTGATTGGCTGTTCCGGCACGTGGTGGAGGGCTGGAATAACAGTTGAACAACGCTGCATCACACAGGCTGAGTGTGTACATCATAGAGAGCAGAACCTCTCTGAACGAGCACCCCTCCTAACGACTAATGGCGGGCCTCCACAGAGCCCATAGTGTAGTGTATAGTAGTGTGGTGTATAGTGTAGTGTATAGTGTAGTAGTGTAGTGTATAGTGTAGTAGTGTAGTGTAGTAGTGTAGTGTATAGTGTAGTGTAGAATATAGTGGTGTATAGCAGTGTAGAGTATAGTAGTGTAGTGTATAGCGTAGAGTATAGTGGTGTATAGTAGTGTAGTGTATAGAGTAGTGTACAGTGAGGGAAAAAAAGTATTTGATCCCCTGCTGATTTTGTACGTTTGCCCACTGACAAAGAAATGATCAGTCTATGATTTTAATGGTAGGTTTATTTGAACAGTGAGAGACAGAATAACAAAAAAATCCATAAAAACGCATGTCAAAAATGTTATAAATTGATTTGCATTTTAATGAGGGAAATAAGTATTTGACCCCCTCTCAATCAGAAAGATTTCTGGCTGCCAGGTGTCTTTTATACAGGTAACGAGCTGAGATTAGGAGCACACTCTTAAAGGGAGTGCTCCTAATCTAAGCTTGTTACCTGTATAAAAGACACCTGTCCACAGAAGCAATCAATCAATCAGATTCCAAACTCTCCACCATGGCCAAGACCAAAGAGCTCTCCAAGGATGTCAGGGACAAGATTGTAGACCTACACAAGACTGGAATGGGCTAAAAGACCATTGCCAAGCAGCTTGGTGAGAAGGTGACAACAGTTGGTGCGATTATTCGCAAATGGAAGAAACACAAAAGAACTGTCAATCTCCCTTGGCCTGGGGCTCCATGCAAGATCTCATCTCGTGGAGTTGTAATGATCATGAGAACGGTGAGGAATCAGCCCAGAACTACACGGGAGGATCTTGTCAATGATCTCAAGGCAGCTGGGACCTTAGTCACCAAGAAAACAATTGGTAACACACTACGCCGTAAAGGACTGAAATCCTGCAGCGCCCGGAAGGTGCCCCTGCTCAAGAAAGCACATATACATGCCCGTCAGAAGTCTGCCAATGAACATCTGAATGATTCAGAGGCCAACTGGGTGAAAGTGTTGTGGTCAGATGAGACCAAAATTGAGCTCTTTGGCATCAACTCAACTCGCCGTGTTTGGAGGAGGAGGAATGCTGCCTATGACCCCAAGAACACCATCCCCACCGTCAAACATGGAGGTGGAAACATTATGCTTTGGGGGTGTTTTTCTGCTAAGGGGACAGGACAACTTCACCGCATCAAAGGGACGATGGATGGGGCCATGTACCGTCAAATCTTGGGTGAGAACCTCCTTCCCTCAGCCAGGGCATTGAAAATGGGTCGTGGATGGGTATTCCAGCATGACAATGACCCAAAACACACGGCCAAGGCAACAAAGGAGTGGCTCAAGAAGAAGCACATTAAGGTCCTGGAGTGGCCTAGCCAGTCTCCAGACCTTAATCCCAAAGAAAATCTGTGGAGGGAGCTGAAGGTTCGAGTTCCAAAACGTTAGCCTCGAAACCTTAATGACTTGGAGAAGAGCTGCAAAGAGGAGTGGGACAAAATCCCTCCTGAGATGTGTGCAAACCTGGTGGCCAACTACAAGAAACGTCTGACCTCTGTGATTGCCAACAAGGGTTTTGCCACCAAGTACTAAGTCATGTTTTGCAGAGGGGTCAAATACTTATTTCCCTCATTAAAATGCAAATCAATTTATAACATTTTTGACATGCGTTTTTCTGGATTTTGTTGTTGCTATTCTGTCTCACTGTTCAAATAAACTTTCCATTAAAATTATAGACTGATCATTTCTTTGTCAGTGGGCAAACGTACAAAATCAGCAGGGGATCAAATGATTTTTTCCCTCACTGTAACACCACTATATACTACTTCACTAGTAACTATATAATACTATACTAGTAACTATATAATACTTTACTAGTAACTATATAATACTTCACTAGTAACTATATAATACTACACTAGTAACTATATAATACTTCACTAGTAACTATATAATACTACACTAGTAACTATATAATACTTTACTAGTAACTATATAACACTACACTAGTAACTATATAATACTTTACTAGTAACTATATAACACTACACTAGTAACTATATAATACTTCACTAGTAACTATATAATACTACACTAGTAACTATATAATACTTTACTAGTAACTATATAACACTACACTAGTAACTATATAATACTTTACTAGTAACTATATAATACTACACTAGTAACTATATAATACTTTACTAGTAACTATATAATACTTCACTAGTAACTATATAACACTAGTAACTATATAACACTACACTATATAATACTTCACTAGTAACTATATAACACCACACTAGTAACTATATAACACTACACTAGTAACTATATGACACTAGTAACTATATAACACTACACTAGTAACTATATAACACTACACTAGTAACTATAAAACACTAGTAACTATATAACACTTCACTAGCAACTATATAACACTAAACTAAATAATACTACACTAGTAACTATATAATACTAGTAACTATATAACACTACACTAATAACTATATAATATTACACTAGTAACTATATAATACTTCACTAGTAACTATATAACACTACACTAGTAACTATATACACTAGTAACTATATAACACTACACTAGTAACTATATAATACTACACTAGTAACAATATAACACTAGTAACTATATAATACTACACTAGTAACTATATAATACTAGTAACTATATAATACTACACTAGTAACTATATAATACTAGTAACTATATAATACTAAACTATATAATACTACACTAGTAACTATATAATACTTCACTAGTAACTATGTAATATTACACTAGTAACTATGTAATATTACACTAGTAACTATATAATACTACACTAGTAACTATATAACACTAGTAACTATATAACACTACACTATATAACACTACACTAGCAACTATATAACACTAGTAACTATAAAACACTAGTAACTATATAATACTACACTAGTAACTATATAACACTACACTAGTAACTATATAATACTACACTATATAACACTACACTAGTAACTATATAACACTAGTAAGTATATAATACTACACTAGTAACTATATAACACTAGTAACTATATAATACTACACTAGTAACTATATAACACTAGTAACTATATACTACCCTAGTAACTATATAACACTAGTAACTATATAATACTTCACTAGTAACTATATAATACTACACTAGTAACTATATAACACTAGTAACTATATAATACTACACTAGTAACTATATAACACTAGTAACTATATAATACTACACTAGTAACTATATAACACTAGTAACTATATAATACTACACTAGTAACTATATAACACTACACTAGTAACTATATAACACTAAACTATATAACACTACACTTACAACTATATAACACTAGTAACTATATAACACTACACTAGTAACTATATAACACTACACTAGTAACTATATAACACTAGTAACTATATAACACTAGTAACTATATAACAATAGTAACTATATAATATATAGTAACTATATAACACTACACTAGTAACTATATAATACTAGTAATTAACTATATAATATATAGTAACTATATAACACTAGTAACTATATAGTAGTAACTATATAATAGTAACTATATAAAATATAGTAACTATATAAAACTATATAATATATAGTAACTATATAAAACTATATAATATATAGTAACTATATAATATATAGTAACTATATAACACTAAACTATATAATAGTAACTATATAATATATAGTAACTATATAAAACTAAACTATATAATATATAGTAACTATATAACACTAAACTATATAATATATAGTAACTATATAACACTAAACTATATAATAGTAACTATATAATAGTAACTATATAATATATAGTAACGATATAAAACTAAACTATATAATATATAGTAACTATATAATATTAACTATATAAAACTAAACTATATAATATAGAGTAACTATATAACAATAGTAACTATATAATAGTAACTATATAACACTAAACTATATAATAGTAACTATATAAAACTATATAATATATAGTAACTATATAATACTACACTAGTAACTATATAACACTAGTAACTATATAATATATAGTAACTATATAACAATAGTAACT